AATGCAGCATGTATTGCATTTGGTCTCCGATTTCTGTACTGCTCCAACTCGGTAACGAGCAAACCTCCTGCACTCTTCCACGACCACCAGCAATCGCAAAATGGGACGTATAGGGCGTAAACTGGAGAGCAATATTCAAGGGTACTGGACGAGTCCCTCCGAAGCTGTACTAGACGGTATAGACAGAAGGAATATGCCTAGTAAGTTACTCCTGAGCAGCGCAGAAAACTGTGACATTCACTGCATTCTGTCCAATTTTTCAATTACCATTTTATATTCAGTTTGAATTAATGAGTGAGAACTTGCAGAGAGGCAGTTTCTCGAGTTTTATGGTGAATCAGTTTGAAGATAGGTGCAAGAATCTTTTCCCGTAATCGCCATGTTCCATTTGTTTGCGGCAAGAATAAGTAGGTGCAAAATAAGCACTGCAATTGTTTTTTTTTTTTAATTTTTATTTACTTCAGTGATTCTGATCATTAATTAAAAAATTTAGACAACAGAACTTTTATGATTTAAACGTCAGTTCTTATATTTTATTCTCTGTGAATATTGCCATAAGGTGAAAAACAGCTTGAATGACGATGTACAAATCAAAAGTAAAAAGACCACTCACTAAGATCTGATATTTGTTCCTATCAGATAAGGAAAGCAAAAATTAAAGGCAGCTAGTCTAAAGCAGGGAAATTTTTTAGCAGCTGGTCGGGAGATTTTGATAAGCTGTAATTCTAAATTATAAATCCTCAGTCATAAAAAAAAGGAAACCAGACTTTTTTCACATTATAATATATGCACAGCTTTACTGAAAATGTCCCATTTCCCATCAGGAAAAAAAGAATTAGCTTAAGATCAAAAACAACAAACCGAGCTAACAAAAGTGGATGAAACTGTAGTCATATCTGCTCATGTGATTTGCATGGATTACTGCTACAAGCCAGCCAGTCAGTTATGCCAGAAACTCGTCTTCTGGGCTGCACGTCATTAGTTCTAATCCCCCATCCTCTCCTCATCCATCCTCTCTTAACTAAAACATGTATGTACCACACTTCCTCCTCTCGGCAAGTTACCTCTCACCACAGTTTAGAAGCGGCAACATCCCAAACGGAGTGATGATGTCCAACATGCGGCAAAGACGTCTCCAAGTGGCTAAAACCTTACCAAGTCCTTCTGTTAAGGGAAACAGTGAGCTAGTAAACCCTTCGGAAGATATTATGAACATAGAAATCGGAACACTTTGACTGCAAGACGGAGCACAGGACAAAGAGAAAAAGCTGTGGGCACATAACTCGTGGACCACGTTATGAACTGTTGCCGATGAAAATATCTAAGTAAAGCTTTTGTTGTTTGTTTTGACTTTGATACCACTCACTAATACATGACCTCCAGCTGCAGCAAAACAAACAAAAGATCTGTGCGCTGCCTTCTAATTCTCCGGAAGGTGGTCTCCTTGGTGCCCTGTACCGAGAAGATCAGCTCTGGGAAAATCTAGAAGAATCTTGTTTTACACCATAAGGTGCAAAACAAGTTTTGTCAAATAGGTGGATAAATAAAGAGCAGCAACTGAGTAACTGGCTCCAGACAGTAGCAAAAATCGCCAATCGATTAAAAAAAATTTGGCTTACAACGACCTACCGAATCAGGCCGTCGTGGTGTCTCGCTTCAGCCAGAAAC